ATTGTAGCCTTGATTAACCACCACCACAATCAAGGTACCCAATTGCCCCTTGGGGCACTTGGGTGGCTCAGGTGGTTAAGAGTCCAACTCTCAATTTCAGCTCAGGTCATGATCTCAGGGTTGTGAGATCAAGCCCTGCGTCTGGCTTTGCACTCAGTGGGGAGTCTGCTTGAGATTCTCTCTCCTTCTGCCTCTCCCCCTGCTTTCACACGCTCTCTATCTAAAATAAATAATCTTAAAAAAGTGGTACCCAACTGTCCCATCACCATGACACCTCAAGCTACCCCTTTACAGTCACCCTGCAGTCCCTTACCCCTGCGACCACTAATCTTCTGTGCATTTCTATAATTATGTTATTTCTCAAATGTTATATACATGGAATTATGCAGGATGTATCGTTTTGAGATTAGCTTTTATCCACTCGGCACAATTTCCTTGAGGTTCATCTAAGTGTTTACATGCATCACTGGCTCATTCCTCTTTCTTTTTGTTGAGTGGTATTCCATGGTACAAACACATCACAGTTTGTTTAACCACTCACCTTCTGAAGGATACTCAGGTAGTTTCTAGGTCTGGGCTATAATAAATGAAACTGCTACCAACATTTGTGTGCAAGTTTATGTGTGAAAATAAGTTTCCATTTTTCTGGAATATATGCCTAAGAATGCAATTGGTGGTACCATGCAATTTTTAGTTTTGAGAGGACTTGTTTTTCAGAGTGGCTATAATATTTCACATTCCCACCAGCAGTGTATGAATAAGTGGTGTTATCACTACTCTTCACTTTAGCCATTCTGATAGATGTGAAGTGATATCTGCTAGTTTCAATTTGTATTTCTCTAAGGGTTAATGATGCTGCACATCTCCCAGCAAGGAGAAAACTCAGTACAGCTTGTGTGACAGACAATATTTTCCAGAAAAAGTCAACAATAATATTCCTCAGCCCATGAGCTCCTTTGATGACATGAGTCAATCCTCTTCCCACGGAGGAAGGTTTTACATTCCCTCCTCCTGAACTGGAAGGGCTGTAAATACAGTGGACATGGCATTATGGAACTTTGAGTTTAGGTCATAAAATTGCCATGCACTTCCATCTTGTTTTCTTGGAACCCTCACTCTTTGAATGCAGCCTCCATGCTGAGAGGAAGGCCATGTGGAGAGGTCACATCATGGGTGTTCTGCCTGACAGCTCAGCTGAGTGTCCAGCCACCAGCCAGCACGTGTAAGTGAGGAAGACTTCTAGATACATTGTCTAACCACAAATCAGAGCAGTCCTGGCTCGCTGAGCCCAGCCAACATTCAGAGCCATGTAAGAATCCTAAAATGACTTTTGATTTAAGACCCTAAGTGTGGGAGTGATTTGTTACAATGACAATAAATAAATGAGGGTGTCTTCTCTACTATAAAACTTCATGCTCTAATAAACTGGTACAAAATAAATTAGTACAAAATTTTCTTGGAATGGCCACACTATGTCTCTGCTCTCATTCTTAAAAAAAAAAAAGAAAGAAAGAAAGAAAAAAGAAAGTTTCCTTTCTCTACAGAAACTGAAGAAGCCCACTGGAGTCAATATGGTATATTGTTCTGAAATGTGAAAGAACATACTCTGGGTCCCATGGCCAGGAGCCACAGGATCTACTCAACATGCTGCTTGTTCCCTCTTGTGGAACATTCTCAACCCTGACAGCCATAGGACCCACTCCCTCAGTCTCTGCTGTAGCATCACCACCCCGGAGGGACCTTCTCTGACCTCATCTTCCATCACTTTCTACCATATCCTTATTCTGCTTAAATTAATTATAGAAAACTTAGTGCTTATCACCACCTGTCTGGAGCTGATTTTATTTGTGTTTATCCCATCTCCATGCCCCAACTAAACTTAAAGAAAGTAGTGGTTTTACTGTGTTCATCCTTAGAACCTACAACTGTCCCTGGCACACAGTAGAAATTCAGCGAATATTTATGGAAGGAGTGAGTGCACAAACCACTAAGGCTAAAAGCACTCACCATGTGCCAGCCCCTGGGAGCTCTTTGCAGGGTACATGGAAAATCGGGAAATGTGTGAAGCATAGGTTCTGCCCTTGAGAATGACTCTGAATGATTTAATAACCTTCTGTACACTGTGGGGAGGGGGGATCTTTGAGCTGATTAAAGAACGAATTATCTTAGTCTCATGCCTGATATTGACACCTGACATATGCTTGCAGCCAGGAAGCCTTTGCCATCAATCTACAGAAATAAGGGGGGAAAGCCTGCCTTAAAACTGCCCTGCTTTTTCTTTTTCTTTTTTTTCCTGCAAGAACCAGTCCCCAGGGCCAGTTTGTGGACCAGTTCAGTGCTTTGTGAATTATGTTCTGAAGTCATGGAACCCTGCCTAAGTACTCTCCTGAGTCAGGCCAGGGGAAGGTCCCAGTCCTTTTCCCACAGCTCCCCACTCTCTGGGAGATTGTGCAAATGGCTGTATATCCTTTCCCTCCCTGAACCTACATTCCCTTGCAATGTGACTCTGCATCTTTGGCTAAAGGGACATTAGCAAACAAGATAAAAGCAGAGGGTTCAAACTGTGGAAAGAGCCAAGATGCCCTTCAACAGATGAATGGATAAAGAAGATGTGGTCCATATATACAATGGAATATTACTCAGCCATCAGAAAGGATGAATACCCAACTTTTACATCAACATGGATGGGACTGGAGGAGATTATGCTAAGTGAAATAAGTCAAGCAGAGAAAGTCAATTATATGGTTTCACTTATTTGTGGAACATAAGGAATAGCATGGAGGACATTAGGAGAAGGAAGGGAAAAATGAAGGGGGGGCAATCAGAGGTAGAGATAAACTATGAGAGACTATGGACTCTGAGAAACAAACTGAGGGTTTTAGAGGGGAGGGGGGTGGGGGGATGGGTATTAAGGAGGGCACATACTGCATGGAGCACTGGGTTATACGAAAACAATGAATTGTGGATCACTACATCAAAAACTAATGATGTGGGGCGCCTGGGTGGCTCAGTTGGTTAAGCGACTGCCTTCGGCTCAGGTCATGATCCCAGGGTCCTGGGATCGAGTCCCACATCAGGCTCCCGGCTCAGCGGGGAGCCTGCTTCTCCCTCTGACCCTCTCCCCTCTCATGCTTTTTCTCTCCTGCTCACTCTCTAATAAATAAATAAATAAATAATCTTAAAAAAAAAAACTAATGATGTATTGTATGGTGACTAACATAACATAATAAAGTAAAATAAAAAAAAGATTCAAATTAAAAAAAAAGCAGAGGGTTCAAAAGTGTGCAGTGGAGCTTGCCTCTCTTGCAGCTCTGGGGAACCTTGCCACAGACACCATGGGAATAAGCCCAGGAGAGTCTGCTGGGAGATACGGGACACATGGCAAAGCACCGGGCAAATGAGTGAGGCCATCCATAGCAGGCTGACCACAAATGCAAGAGTGAGCTCGGCTGATGTCACATGAAGTGGAGATAAGCTGTTCCAGCAGAGGTCAGCCCAAATGCTGACTCACAGAACTGTGAGCAAATACATGGTTGTTGTTTTAAGCCACTAAGTGTTTGTTATGTAGCAAAAGCTGACTGATGTATCCTCTCATACCCACTTAAAAAAAAATTCAGCCAGAGTAATGGAAAAAACAGGACTTAAACTATCCATTAAAAATAATTCCAAGTTTACAAGTAAATATACAGGGAAAGATGGGGAGAATGGGAAATGCATTAAGGGTGATCTTTATTTTGTCCTTTATACTTTTCTGAATTTCCTGAATTTTCCACAATAGAATTGACAATCTCTTTAAAACAAAAGAAGAAAAGGCAAAGTGTTGGGGCAGTTTCTTCTAGCTGCCCTCTGATGGTTCCTGGGCAATTCTGCTGTGATGTGAACATTTTCCACATGGCTGAGGTTGCTGGGTTGTAAAAGACAGGTGTTTCAGTGGGACAGCTGGCTCCCTGCATGTCAGCACCATTACCTCTGGTGGGAGTTTCAGGGAGGTTAAAAGGGCCTAGATGGTAAAAAAATCTATGCTTCAAAACTCTTCCATCTAACTAAGACTGCCTTGAAATGCCAACTCATTCTTTCCTTGGCTACTGTAGTCTATATTCTTTTGTAACCTGGTGTGGCTGATGAGTTTCAGCAGAATCCCTTGAGCTGGCTGTGGACATGGGAAATGCAGCAATCTGGGCCTGGGTATAAGCTAGTGTGATGAATATCTTTTGTTTGCCTTTCCAGATCTATTCTCTTCCTCTCTGAGCCCTGGGACACCAACCTGTGTTGACTGCACTGATGGCTTCTGATTGGGTTCAGCCAATGGGAAGAACCAATAGGAGACTAGAAGGAAAGAATGGAGTGAGGCTTGGATATTGATTCTCCCAGCTCCCATCCTGCAGCTTCACTGTGGTCTGTCTTCCACTGAAGATCAGAGTCCTGCCAGGCATCCCTCTTCAGACAATAATTTCCATTTTCAGATTCCAGTAGCCAGTTCCCTGCCTCCCTTCCACTGACATGGGGCAGTAAGAGTGGCACTCCATTCTAGAATGCCACAGGAATCCTCATGTGCTCTTATGCCCACACCTTTATTAAACTCTCCTCGAGCTGTCCACTGGAGTTTGTCTTCTCTTTCCTGCAGGAACTCTGAGAGATACTGCAGACATGCACAACTCCACAGACAGGGTGGACAAAGCCCCAGAAAAGTCGTCTCTTCTCCTCCAACAAAAATAAGAACATGGAAGAAAAAGGAAAGAAATTTCCATAGTTTCTATTACTTCCTACACTTGTTGTTAAAGTGGAAAGTCATCCATCAAATTCAGATCACCAGATAATCCTGACAAATAAGATGACACAGAAGATGGTAATTTCCCTTTTGGTAAGCTTTCTGGGAAGGACAGTGGGTGACTTGTGACCAAGGAGACTTAAAATTATGAGAAAGGGTTCTTAGGAGGATAATGCCCATGACAAACAAAGTGGCAAGATAAACCATGGAGAGGCCAAACATGAAATCTTACCCGGCCATCACTTGTCAGGAGGATGGAGTCACTCTTTATGTCCCTGTGAATCACTCCTTGATTGTGAAGGTAGGAGAGAGCTCTTAGAACCGACAGACAAACAGTAGCTATCTGTTCTTCATTCATTCTGGAAAAGAAATAACATTTAAGGAGCAAAGACAGGTTTAAGAACATCTTTGAAATGATCAAGAGAGGCAGCTCCCTTGGGGTCTAGTGAACAGTCCATGCTCTCCAGCCCATGTCTGGAAAATCTACAGGAAAGGATGAAGAAGTCTTGGGATATGAGTCCTAGATCCTAAGGGTTGGCACTGAGGATGACAGGGGCCCAATATAAAGCCAAAGCAAAGAGACCCCTATTTGCTGACTTTTGGGTCATTAATGCAAATGCACTTCCTTAGAATCTCGTGGGTAATTCCTTAGGTATTGATAAACCTCCAGGTTCCTACAGAGAGACGGCACTGAATAGAGCCAAGGTTCCAAGTATGCCTGATAGGTGACCTTGAGCAAGCCCTTTTAACTTCCTCAGGTTTCTTTTTTCCTCATCTTGGAAATGGGGACATCCACAATTCTCTTTAAGGCTGGACTTGGACAACACGGTCTTTGGATGTCTAACTTCCCCAGGATTAGCCCTGCCTCCAGGAGCTGGAGATTCCTGCTGCTCTAGGTCCTTCCATCAAGAAGGAAACTGGACTTAGTTACTAATAACTAAGTGTAATTGGATGATTCTTGAACAAACTGACCATAGGAATGAGAAAGGCAAGCATAGCTCTGGATATATACTCCCACATTTCATGGCTGCACCCTTCTGAAGAAGGGTTCTGGCTTCAGAGGAGACTGAGGTCAAGTGACCTGCCCAAGGTTACCCAGCTAAGAAAGTGACCAGATCATGATTACAACCCCACCTCTTTTTGAGTTCAGACCCACGCTTTTCCAATGTCCCCATTGTATCACTTTGCCATGGCAACTCATATGAATGGCTTTTCAGCCATGAAGAACCTCGGTGGGAAGAATTACTTGGCCATCAGTGCCCTTACAACAACCCACAGAGGCCTAACTCATCTGGGTATAAAACTTACTCCCTCTCACAGAGACAGTGTGAAACTCAAGCCAGACAGCGAATGTGAAAGAACTCTTAAAAGTCATGCCAACAGAGGAGACTGTCAGGAGAGACAGAGGGTGTAACTGACCAGAGCCCAAATTCAAGAACAGCCTTGGAAAAATCACCCGGGAGAACTCTTAGCTCAGCAGGACAAGGAAATGGATGGCCCAGAATCTGTATCAGTCTTGTTGATGCCAGCAAACCATGTCTGAGTAAAATTAGGATTCAAAGTAAAATCCAGGGAGGTGGCCAATTAGGAGAAAGTCGAGGGTATAAAGTGGATGGGTATCCCTTCTCTTCAAAGAGGCTTATTCCAGAAATGCCTTGGTCTCCTACTAAGGCAGGCAAGAAGAAAATGTTCTTGTCTGAGAGTGGAAATCTACAACTTCTGTGTTCTTAGTTTTGTGTGAGTGGGTTTTGTGTGAATGGGCTGGTCATTGTGCTGGATTGTGAAAACAATGGATGACAACTTCACATCTGCCCACAGCAGAGCCCTTGGAGGTTTAGAGCATCATCAGCAGGGATAAGCTCAAATATACCTTAAAAATAACTCAGGAGCAACAATCACCTTCTTTAATAAAACTCATTTTTCTAGGATTCCATGAGATTCCAGTTATTTGAAGCAGACATAAAGATTATTTACAGGTCAACAACAACAAAAGTTAATGGAATCTGAGCCCCCATCACTGACTGAAAAATCACCTTTAACTGGCCTATGTGACAAATACTACTGATTCTGAATTTAGTGGCTCTGAAATGTATAGGAACCACTGTAGAAAGACTGTGCTTTCCTACTTCTGCAGGGAGGAAGCCTGAATTGGGATAAAGATGCTCAGTTCTGGAATCAAATCCAAATTCAAATCCTGGCTCTGTTTTGTAGAGGAGTAGGTCACATGAGTTAATGTTTGAAGTGCTTGACACTTTCCTTTGCCTTCTAGAACTCTCTGTTCCTGGAAATCAGTAGGATGTAATTTAATAAGATGTTAGGTAGGGCTAAAAGTTTGGTATCCATAGGAAAAGCTGAGCACCTGGCTACCTTATGGTCAGTCTGGGTAGAGCTGGAGATTCTGCATTTCTAACAAGCTTCTAGGTGATGTTGATGCTGCTATTCCCCAGAACACACCTTGAGTAGCAAGGAGTTATTTTATTAATCAATCAATCATTCAGTAAAGCATTTATTGAATATCTACTATAGGAAACTCTCTGAATGATTCAAGAATTAAAATTTAAATTTAAGATTCAAAGGATTTCAAGTTCTAAATATTCAGTGTTCCTTGACATACAATTTCTCTCCACTCTGTGGAGCTCTCTGCCTTCAACAGGAAATTATTGACAAAACTGGATGGAGAGGATTAGAGAACACAGTGGATTCCAGAGAGGCTAGCTCTTAAGTGGATCCCACTGACACACAATAAAAACTAAAAAACAAAACAAAACAAAACCTTGACAAAGAGAGAGCTCCAGAGAGACATGTGTAGCTATCTGAAGCTCTCCAGGGCAGGAAAAAAAAAATCCTCTCCTCTGGATATATTTTTATTAATGGTTTTAGATGTAAGTCACCTTTGTCATAAGCTTAGGTTTCTTCAGTATATTTGTTTCTGTAAGTTAAGATGATCTTATGTGTTGTGTGGGGGGGTGTCCTATGGTTATACCAACAGGGATCTGCCATCTGAAATGTTGGTGATAAATGTTCAGTGTCTTCCCTTATGTTCTTTTGTTTTTAGATAGTCTACTGAGACTGAGAGCTGTAGGGGGTTAGGATTGAAACATCGCCCGATTTTAGGGAGAAACAGCAGAATATTCTATCCCTCACAGTGTTCCTCAATACCTTCTTGCTACCTTGCTTTCCCCTTATTGTTCACTTGGATTCACTTATGATTTAGGCACCATTTCAGTGATATCAGCTAACATGTAGTGCCTCTCCTTCTTGACAATCATCTCTTAGCCCTTTGGAGTTTTATTTACTACCAAGAGCAAATTTAAAGTTTCCCAAAGGTAACATGTTTTTTTAAAAAAAAAAAGTCTGTTCCTTAGAACCTTGCTTCTCTAAGGTGGTCTATGAACCAGGAACATTGGTGTTATCTGGGAGCATGTTAGAATAGAATATCATGGGCGCCTGGGTGGCTCAGATGGTTGAGCGTCTGCCTTCGGGTCAGGTCATGATCCCAGGGTCCTGGGATCGAGTCCCGCACTGGGCTCCCTTCTCCTTGGGAGCCTGCTTCTCCCTCTGCCTCTCTCTCTGTCTCTGTCTCTCATGAATAAATAAGTAAAATCTTTAAAAAAAAAAGAATAGAATATCATGCCCCTTCCTATTGAATCAGGTTCTGCATTTTACTAAGACCCACAGGTAATTTGTATGCATATTAAAATATGAAGAACACTGTCTTAGCACATACTTTGTCTCCCTTCAATGTCTTTTTCCTCCCACTTGCCTTCTTAGTAAACTCCTATGCATCTCTCAAAACTCATCTTGGTTATCACTTTATATTGGAAATCTTTATTTTCCCTGTTAGAGATACTCAGGTATTCTTCTTTGCTGCTTCTATATCTCCTTCTACTTCTGCACAGGTATTATATTTATTTCTAACCTGTGACATCCTTGAGGGAATATATTTCAGACTTTAATTGTTTGTATCTTTTGTGTCCCCGGCACTCAGGCAAGAGCCTGGCACATAAAAGGTGATCAATAAACAATTAAATGACCAAAACTGACACATCAGGGAAGCAAGAAGCAGAGGTAATAATAATTAACCATTGTTACCTGCAAGACTATTTAAAAACAGAATTGAAGAATTTCAATTACATAGGTTTCTTATTATAACATAAAACTCTGACTCATCTTCCACCTGTGTCTTCCTCACCCACCTACTCTTGGTGGTATTACCACAGTGCAATAGCATGGCAACTCAGAATAAAAATCAGTTTTAGAAAAATACATAGGAATGGGAAATCCTATTGTTTGGCACCAAAATTCCATTGTCATCAGCTTGCTGACTTAAAATCATTAGGTATTAATGAATTTCTGGAGGACAAGGAGAACGTTAACTGAATGAATGAATTATACATACATGATATTACAACAGGCAGTTAGGGAATATGAAGTCATAGTCCCTGACTTCAAAGGGCTTACAATTTATAAAGAGGTCATAAAAACGGTCATTGAGGCCTTACCCTGGAGAAGAAATAATAAGCACTTGGAATTATTTGTCTGGATAGTGAAGAGACATACCTGGTATGAGTGACAATGTCCGTCAAGGCACCGCCTTCTAGAAATTCCATGACCACCCAGAGCTCATCGCCGACAAGGTAGCTGTTGTACATGTCAACCACGTTGTCATGGTGGTAATCCCGCATTATCACAACCTGGGCAAATGGAAAGATGATTTTTGACCTGTGATGGTGAAATCTGGCTTTCTGTTCTCTTATGGCCCCAACTGTGCTGTGAGCAGAATTGATTAAGAAATATTGATTTTGGGGGGATTTATTCAGGAGTCTATTATAGACACAAAGTATTGAGGGTAGCTAGCAGCAATAAAAGGAATCAAGTTAGTCAGTTCGGAGAAAATGGCAGCGCAACCAGACACCGGGTTTGGAGATAGTAAGAGTGAAAACAGGCAGAACCCTGGCAAGGTTTATACTCACAAGAAGGAGTATTGTTGACTGTTTGGGTGGGGGGCAGGTAGGATATGATCAGATATCCCTAAGGGTCTCTGTTAGAATGCACTATCCATACTCTACCATTGTTTAACCTGGCAAAAGGTCACCAGCTCTAAATGGCAAATGATGAGTATGAAGTAAATGAAGTGAACAGTAGGAGTGGGGCTACATGAAGCTAACTTAACATCTTGGGAGGAGGTCTGGGTTGAGTGTGAGAGAGGTTTGGGCTGAATACAGAGGATAGGTCTTGAAAGTAAAGACAAATATGACTCAGGCATATACAAGGCTAACTTGAACTTACCGGAGAGAGCTTCCAAGAATTGCTGCCCCGTGGCTGCTTCTGGTGACATTTTCAGATTTAATGTTAATTAACAAATTACAAAGTTATCTACATTATATTGCCCTGCCTGTTCTGGCATTGTGATTTGGAAATAAGTTCCAGAAATTAGCATTGTAGAAGTGACAAGCTGAAGCCCACTCACCTGGGGCTCTCTCTGAGATGTGGAACACAGCGAGAAAATGAACACTCATGGGGGCTGGAGCCATGTGTGCCTTCTTGTGAGCCTCCATAGAAGAGGGACCCAAAGTCACACCTGATTGCATTTTTATAATGTCTGTTAGGAGATGTGAGTGGTGCATCCTTTGCTGGAGACTGACGTATTATCTAACATTGGAATCCTGACTTGCTATCTTTAAGACCTAAATTTTCCATCCACAAAAGCTCATTTCTCTTCCCTAAACTCTCATAAAATCAATAGATGACTATTACTTCAAAATATTTTATGTCCTTAGACATAGGTATTCGTATTTTTCCACCTATGTGCATTTTAGAACTTTAAAGTAATAAGTGTAAAAGGCAAATGAAGTGGAAAAATATGTGCAACACATAGAAAAGGGTTAATTCCTTAATATATCAAGAGCTCTCACTTATCAATAAGACGAATGCTACCATTCGTGTGTGCAAAGGACATATGGTTTAATAAAATAAAAATGGCCTAAAAACATATAAAAGT